AATAATGATCTTTAAAATAGCATCATATGACCCCTTTAAGCCAATGTATCTCCAAAGGTGTATCAGTCCATCAAAAAATTAATTTAAAGCACCAGAGCGAGCACCAGAATTTTACAATATGAAACCAAAAAAACAGAAGTGATTCTTTTCCAATGACACATTTCTTGTCACAAGGGAGTTTTTCAAAATTAAATAAAAAGTATGTTTGAATATTATCAAATAAAAACCTTATCAGTGCGTGGTTGACGTGTACGTCATCTTTTCTTAGCCCATTGTATTCCAGTCTTACAGCCCCAGAGTTATTTCATAGTAAATCTTTAGTAATGCTAGTATATGAGTCACATGCATAACACATGACCGAATCAGGCGTTTGCTTCTTGAACATGTCAAACCCATGTGCTCTTCAGACTTGCTGATTCCTATGTTTTTTTCTTTTACAGGCCTTAAATGGGCTGGTACAGACTACAGGCTGGCCGGCAGTGGTAGCGTGTGTTGGGAACTGGTTTGGGAAGGGAAAGTAGGTGACTGTTGTGTTATTTGCTGCTTCTCAGTTTGTGTGCTGTTGACAGTGCAGAATTGTATCTGCACTTTTTTTCACAAAAACAACTAAGTGCAGATCTAAATGATCTCTCTTGCTTCCACACTCCTAAACTGTTAAAACTTGTCTACTGTGAACTGTTCTTTTAAATTAAACCACAATTGCAACGCATTTTACTACAGCAGTATGACAAATTTCAGAGTGAAAAAGGATATTTCACAAGAAAAATCGTGGCAATTCTTGATTTTTTTATCCATCAGGAATTGTTTGGATGAAAACATGGTATTTAATTTTGGAACTAAGCCAGATGTGAACTGTAGTTAACAAAACGATTCATAAATCACTATTTATAAGCAGTTTATTAACGTTACCCAATAGCCTGCATGGCCCAAGTGATGTCAAAGGAAGGCAGAGTTGTTTTTAAGGCAGGGCAAGGTATTAAACTTGATTTTAAACAACTTCACTGATGAATTGTGCACATTAAGATGTACACTAACGTTCAAAAGTTTGGGATCAGTAATTGATCAGAAATGACAGTACAGTAATGTATGATGTTACAAAAGATGTCTATTTCAAACAATGCTATTAAACTTCATAATCATCCAAAAATCTCTTAAAATTCAAATTACAGTTTCCAAAATTATATAAAGCAGCACAACTGTTGTTGAGGTCAATAATTGTAAGAAGAAATGTTTCATCATGACTTCTGAAGACACATGTGACACTGAAGACTGGAATAATACCTGCAGGAAATTCAGATTTGTCTTCACAGGAGTAAATTACACTTTAAGATATATTAAAATAGAACAGTTCTTTTTAATTTTAAGAATAGTTTACGATATTACTGTTTTTACTGTATCTCTGATCACATGAATGCAACCTTGGTGAGTATAAAAGACTTAGAAAAATACACAGACTTTTAAATGGTAGTGTATTAATAAGCTGATTTCATGTTGACTTCAATCTTCCAAAATGTAATTTTAAAATTCCTTGTTACCAATGCTCTACCACTGTTCCTGTGGCTCAGTGGTAGAGCATTGTGTTAGCAGTGCAAAAGTTCGTGGGTTCGATTCCCAGGGAACACACATACTGGTAAAAAAATGTATGGCCTGAATGCACTGTAAGTCGCTTTGGATAAAAGTGTCTGCTAAATGCATAAACTATTATTACAAAATTCCAAAATTGCTCTCTGACGCAGGCGTGGATTCATCATGGGCGTCTGGAATTCTCACACCTCAGTAGGAAACATTCTGGGCTCCCTCATTGCTGGGGTCTATGTGTCGTCCGCGTGGGGCCTGTCATTCATTGTGCCTGGTATCATCATCGCTGTTGCTGGAGTCATCTGTTTTTTGTTCCTGGTTGAAAGTAAGTCACACCTTAGATTGGAGGGAAATTTGCTATTACATGCCTGCGGGCTGTTTACAAAGACAGGAACAGAAGGGAAACAAAAACAAAGATTGTGCAACTAAATTACATGAACAGAAATTTTCTATTACTTCAACTTAGAGATGGGCATGTGTTTTTTTTTATTTTATTTTATTTTATTGTAACCACTTCTAATAGTTACTATTTTATGATAGAAATTAAATAAAGACAACACAAACACAATACTACTAACTATCTGCAGATATAAAAGATATGTTCAACAAACTCAAGATTAATTTTGTGGAAGAAAAAAAACTGTTACCTAAATCACAGTTTTTTTTGTTTTTTTTTTCAGAACCTGAAGATGTGAACTGTACTCCACCACAACACCATGTGAGTTCACTTACAATTAAAAAACTATGTAAAATATTTTGACTCTATGACCTACATATGTTACAATACCATTATTTCACTTGAATAACCAGCTAAACAGCAGTGCTCCCCTCCCATTTGTGTTTTGTTTCTGTGATTTTCCGAAGTTGCATTATTTACAAATTGATTATGTGAAAAGGCTGGTTAACACTCATTTACTGCCATTTGGTTACAATCGATAAAATTTTTTTTGCCAAACTGAAAGCAAAATTAAATATTTGCAATACATTTGGCCTCTTTTTTGCAGCAAGAGAATTGAGCAAATGAATGTAACGTTGTCATGCTGCTGTGCGCCTGTAGTTCACAACACTGTAGTGAATCTGGTTGAGAAATGACCTGAGAATTGAAAGCAGAAGTAATTGTGAACATAGAGATTTTATATCCTCTGACTGAAGCTAAAAAAAAATGATTCTGTGCCCACACTGTGATTTTCTGTGAAACTCTGATTGCCCAAAATCTGCAGGCTGACTCCTCCAGACTGAAAATTGGGGCAAAAATATATGCAAATGTAGTGTAGTGTATTCCACCCTTAAGTATGTACTTAAAATACTGTCACTTAATGTTCTTCCTTTAACAAACACTTTTTATCTTCATTGATATAACACTAACAGTCTGTAATGTGTTTAGGAGAGTGTGGAGCAGGAGCCTCTACTGAGGAACTCGTCCAGTAATGAGGAGATCTTCAGCACTAACACCTCCACAGCCGTGGAGATGGTGGAGGATCACACCGAAGCCATCAGCTTCTGCGGAGCGCTCAGGATTCCTGTGAGTGACCTGTTCTTCTCAGTTTTACACCCACAGCTGTTAGTCAGCGAATGTAAGGTGTTGTTTTGAAGAGACTGAGAGAGGAGCCAATCCTGTGAAGTGTCTGGTGTGCTTGGATCAGAAATAATGCTTTTGCTTTCTCAACCTAAATATAATTTTTTCTTAAAATAATAAAATGTTTAAGATTAAATCTGTTCTTAAAAGATTAAAGGGTTAGTTCACCCAAAAATGAAAATTCTGTCATTAATTACTCACCCTCGTGTTGTTCCAAACCCGTAAGACCTTCGTTCATCTTCGGAACACAATTTAAGATATTTTTGATGAAATCTGAGGGCTCTCTGTCCCTCCCATAGACAGCAAGGTAACTACCACGTTCAAGGTCCAGAAAAGTACCAAGATGATCGACAAAGTAGTCCGTGTGACATCAGTGGTTCAACTGTAATGACATTACTCATTAGGATGTATTGCTTATTTTGTAGCATTCCTCGTGTTAGCTACTTCGCATAAAAAAGCAACTGCTAAATAAATAAATGTAAATCCAAAAATTGTCTGACAAATGACCCAAACAGAGTATTATGTTTAAAGACCATTAGATAAGACTTAAAGGGTTAGTTCACCCAAAAATGAAAATTCTGTCATTAATTACTCACCCTCGTGTTGTTCCAAACCCGTAAAACCTTCGTTCATCTTCGGAACACAATTTAAGATATTTTTGATGAAATCTGAGGGCTCTCTGTCCCTCCCATAGACAGGAGTCATTGAATATTGAGTATCTGCCGATCCCGAGTAATCCCTAGCTGGTGGACAGGAGTAAATACCATCCTGTCATTTTTGCTCATCGTGTTGTTTTCGTCCTGCAGGGTGTGGTGGAGTTCTCCTTGTGTTTGCTTTTTGCCAAGCTGGTCAGCTACACCTTTCTCTACTGGCTTCCTTTATACATCGCTAATGTTGGTAAGAATCCTTCATCAGATTCTCTCATATTTACTCAGTTCTTAGGCACAAATGAACTGTCAAAAAAAGTCACTGAGTCTGCTCTCTCTCAGCTCATTTTGATCCTAAAGAAGCTGGGGACCTGTCTACGCTGTTTGATGTTGGAGGAATTGTGGGTAAGTATGTGGTATTTAAATTATTTATAGGAATAAGAAATATCTAAGGGTGATTCTTGAGATTGGTGGTACTATAAGGGTTTTTTCTGTGTTAGGTGGCATCCTGGCTGGATTGATATCTGACTACAGTGGAGGCAGAGCCACTACTTGCTGTGCCATGTTGATCATTGCTGCTCCAATGGTTAGTCGAACTGTTCTCTTTTTTCTTTCTGTCTTTCTTTCTTTGCTCAGACTTTGGGCAAAATGCAAACATCTGTTTCAACAAGATGTTGCAGATTGATTTCATCTATTAAGAGTATGTAAAAGCATTATTAAAACACACGTGTGTTTATTTGCTAGCTTTAAGGACCATAAAATTTACACTTGGGAGTTTATATCAGTTTTAATATGCAATGCTTATGTCCAGTGGCACTGTACATTCGCCTGGTCAAAAAAAAAAAAAGAGCAGCTACAGAATCTGAAGTGTTGTCTGTAAATCTTGAAGTTTGCTCAGAGTTTTTACAGACATCTGTAATCGTGTGCACCCAAAACCCTCAAGCTCGAGTTTACCTGTGAACCTGTGTAAATGCGTGGGTTTCTCTTTCCTTTGAGATCTGCTGCTTATTCATGTTTGCTTTTCTTCCTCAAGCTGTTCCTGTACAATAAGATCGGGCAGAACGGCTTGCCAACCACCATTTGTGAGTATGGAGTACATGGCTTTTGTACTTGCATATAAATTAATAATTTGATACAATGCACTTATTGTGTGTACTGTAATTAATTTCTGTAGTTACATTTATAATTACACTGTTGACCCATCCCTTACACCTTAAACCTACCCATAACCTAACCTTACCCATATCCCACCTCAATAGCAGCAAAAATGATTTGCAATACAATATGAACACAATAAATACATAGTACTTATTTTTGATGTAAGTACATAGTAGTTAAGGCCACCTAATATAAAGTGGGACCAGTTTTTTATGTAAAATTTAAGTTTGCCTTTGAAACATGTCAAGTATAAGGGGATCAGATGATCTTGTAAATTATCAAATAAGGTGCCATATTGACAACAGATAAACAAAATAAATAAAATCTTTTTTTTTTTTTCTGTATCTCCTCCTCTGCCCTTTTCGGACCTGCAGGCATGTTGCTGTGGTGTGGTGCTCTCGTGAATGGACCCTACGCCCTCATCACCACTGCTGTATCAGCTGACTTAGTAAGCACTGGGCACCTTTCCTCCATGTGCTCTTCACATGGATATTTGTAAAGTCTTAAAAAAAAAGGTTCAAAACAGATACGTTGGGACCAGCCTACAAGTCCTGCCGTCAATAACTGATCAATAAACTATTTTGTAATGCAACAAGCACTTTGTGTTGTACATTTCATAATGTTTTTTTTTATCCTTTAGGGAACCCATGAGTGCCTGAGAGGGAACTCCAGAGCACTGTCCACTGTGACTGCCATTATTGACGGCACTGGATCTATAGGTATGCAGAGAATGTGGCTTTTTTTTTTTTCTTGAGCTTGATATTGACTTAATAAAGTCAAGCATTGAATGCACTTTGTGTTATAATCCGGCAGTGAATATTACATTTGCAAATCGAGCAACATTTTTAAAAGGTTATTGACAGTCAATAAAAATGTAACATTCAGAAACCAGTGTTTGTTTTGAAAACGTCCCACTGTCCTGTGATGGCAGTCACATGTTGTGAAATGTGTTTAATGGGCTCTAGGTGCTGCTGTTGGGCCTCTGTTGGCTGGTCTGATCTCTCCCACCGGATGGAATAATGTTTTCTATATGCTCATTGCTGCTGATGTGCTGGCCTGTCTGGTGAGACTAAAAGCTGATGTGTATTATTATTTTTGTTATTGTTGATTCAATTGTTTTTTATAATATTATCCAATAAATAATAGGTAATTTTCTGTTCTCATGATGAATGTGTTTTCTGGCTGGTGTTTCAGTGTCGTCTCTTGTTCTTGTTTGTGTAGCTGTTGTCCAGGCTCGTGTATAAGGAGGTCAGAGGATGGTGTGGATACACTACAAGGCTGAGAGGGTAAACGTGTTTATGGTGAAATATGTAAGAAGCTTGTGAAAACATGCATATAAATACACTATATACACTACAAAAGTTTGGAATGATGAAAAATGTATTTATTTTTATGTATTTGAAAAATGACTCTTATTGCTCACCAATGCTGTATTTATTTGATGCACAATACAGTAAAAACAGTAATATTGTGAAATATTATTACAATTTAAAATAACCATTTTCTATTTGAATAGATTTTAGAATGTAAAATATTCATGTGGCGGCAAAGCTGAATTTTCAGCATCATTACTTCAGTCTTCAGTGTCATATGATCTTTCAGAAATGATTCTAATATGCTGGTTTGATGCTCAAGAAACATTTGCTATTATTATCAATGTTGAAAACCACTTTTGATGCTTAATGTGTTTGTGAAAACAATGTTCCACTATCATTCAATAGTTTGGAATAATAAAAAAAAGAAAGTAAAGAAAAAGAAAACATAAATTAACACATTTATTCAGCCAGGATGCAGTAAATTAAGGAATTTAAGTGACAATAAAGACATTTTGTAATGTTAATCTAACAACAGCACTCTATTCTATCTACTTGTTTTCTTTTTGTTTAATAAAAAACTAGACCCTCTAACAATTGCATTCTCTATTCAGTTTTTATTCTAACTACTTGTATTATTTTATTTTAAAAATTGACCCTCTAACACTAGTGTTCTCTATTCTTTTTCTATTTTATCTACTTGTTTTCTTTTTATTTATTATTAAAAAAAATAATAGTACTGTGTTAGACTAACCAAGGCTTGTCACTGCACTTACATATTGTTGCATATTGTTACATTTTGTTGGTTTTGATTGCAAGTCGTTTTGGATAAAAGTGTCTGCTAATAAATGACTAAATGTAAATGTAATGTTACAAAAGACTTCTAATTCAAATTGTGACGTTATTGGCAGATGACTTCATTAAGGTTTATATTTGACCTTCTATTTTTAGCTAGTGGCTTTTAAATATCCTGAATGGTGCTGATTGCCATTACATGTACTTGATATTAGTGGCTGCCAAAAATGTAGAGCGTCATGACCAAAGAGACGCTGTACTTGAATTAATTGGGCCTTCCTGCCTTCTAATATGATTCAGTGGAGGCTATTTTTAGTGGTTGCAAGGCAATCACAATTACTCCCAAGAGGCTGCGACCCGCCTCGGGATTTGTTAGTTTTCACTGTGTTCCCAAATGACTGGCAGAGATCTGTGTGTCGAGGTGGAAAATGATGTTTGCACTTCAAGTGCAATATCATTAAGTCTCTGACATCCTTGTAATTATCAGTCAGTTTTTGGCTTGAACAAAATCCGGTTATGAATTTAACCATAAAAAAAGCTTGATTTGTGCTAAGCCATTTTTTTGTGCTTTTTTTATCATATTGAAATGCATGCATTACAGTAATGGTCTCCGCTATCCACTTTAGACATTTTGTCAAATGAGCGGGCGGTAATTATTTGGTCTTGTTTGTATTTTTTTTTACACCGCTAGAATCTGATGATTAAAAGGTAAGCGTTTAATTTTGCACCATGTGTTTGCAGTGGTTTCATCTGCTCTTTTCTTTCAGGTTCAAAGAGATCTGAGCCGCCCGTCGAACAAGAGAATATCACACCTGTGACGGAAAATTACCTGCAGCATAACGACAAAAAGGGACCATGGATTGAGGAAACACACCAAGCCTTTTTATGCCCAAGGGTTATTTTATATGAAAATTGTAACATGAGACTTTCATCCTTTAATACTGACAATGGAACAAAGCTCAGCTGCTGCAGTGAAGGAGGAGGAGAGTTACACACACCCTCGTCCACACGTGGCCAAACGCAACAGGATCACTAAGCATCTTCATTTTAATACAGGATGCTTTTAGTGACTGCTCAATACAAATGTACCTTTTTTTCTAGAATTAAAATATGCCATCGGTGCTTTGTCCTTTTATGTCATTCGTACGTTTCCTGTTTGTTATTGGCCTGGCTAGCTGTGAATCTTATCAGCAGTAATGATTAAACAGAGCCTGAATATGTATTTTAATAGATACTGAGGTCATATTCATGTGCATACACATGAATATGACCTCAGTATCTATTAAAATACATATTCATGTATTTTAATAGATACTGAGGTCATATTCATGTGCATACACACTTAATCACTCTCAACTTCATTAAAATACCAGGTGGCTCCAAGCATCCCAAGAGAACCTCTCGGCTTTATTCTCTGAGGCTGTGTATGTGTGGATGCATGTTACTGGTAGCTGGTTTTCTAGCTTTAGGGTATATATACTATCAGCTCCTGTCAAAATGAGAAATCGTGTGAAAGGCAGTCATATCTGCAGAATAATGTTTATTTTTCTGGACAGTTTAAGCTGTGTTATTAGTCATTAATTTTTTTTTTTAAATATTCAGTTATGATTAATAATGTTACTTTATTAATTTGTTAATTTATTGATTATAAAAAAGGTCATGTCCAGGTCATGTCATATTGTATGGGGCAAGTTGTTACAATACTACAAATTTCTAACCGTAAAACATGAGAAACATTGAAAAAAACAATTAATTAAACAGTAAAAATGTACAAGATAACATATGAGAGAATAACGCCATCGTTTTGTACAACAGAAATCATAATCAGTTTTGTAATTAATGGATTAATTAATAAATTGTAACTGTATACATTTTAACATTTTCAGTTTGCCCTAACCTGATATTTATGAAAATTATACACTTTGATTAAAATCTACACTACCATTTAAAAGTTTGCGGGTCATTGAGGGTTTTCTTTTTTTTTTTTCTTGTTTTTTTTTAAAGAAATACTTTTTTTCTTTTTTTTTTTAGCAAGGACACATTAAATTAAACATGGCAATAAGGACACAATATTACATGTATTAACTGTATTTTATAAATAATTGTAGTTGTGTAAATTCATTAATTGGAGGTAGGACCATACCATGCAAAATTTTATACACAAGTAAAATATCTGCAAATTTAATCATATTTTCCCATAAAAACCCTTTTATCCAATGTTTTCAAAGCCTGCTTATAGAGTCTTTCTATTGGTTGTAAAGTAGTCACACCTGTCTGTGTCCAACTGGTGAGACAGTAATTCGTGTGTGGAAAAAATCATAGCATTAATATATAACTTTGAAGCTTCAGTGGTTAAATTATTCCTAATATGTCTTAAATGTAATTATATTCTCAACTTTTTAAACTTGTTTTTTGAATGTGAGTTGCGAGTCAAGTATTACTATATACCTAAATATTTATACTTATGTACTACTGATAACCTTCTACCTGCTACTGTAACATCTGGGTCCAGATCTCTATTTGCAGACTTTGAAAAAAAAACACATACAGTTTTACTAACATTAAGATGTAAACATTAATTTTTTAACCACTTAGTAATATTGACCATTTCTGCTGATAATTCTTCTGCAGCTTGCTTTTTACTCTTAGCATGCAAGTATATAGTTGTTTCACAAACATCAGGCAAGTCATTAATATACAAACTGAATAACAAAGGACCTGATATTGAACCTTGAGGTACACCAACTGAATTAGTTACTAATTGTGAAATGTTATGGCCTACTCGAACACACTGTTGTCGGTCAGTTAAACATGATCTTATCCATTTAATTACTTTTGTTGAAAAATGATAATTTGATAACTTATTAATTATAACCACATGATTTACTGTCAAATGCTTACTGTGTTAAACAGCTCCCACCACACCACCTTTATCCAATTTTGATTTAATATTTTCTAAAAGAAAACAATTCGTAGTTTGTGTTGAATGATACTTTCGAAAACCAAACTGCATCGGATGCAATGAGAACAGAGTACTGTTCAAATGTGATATTATCTGTTCAGAAATCAATTTTTCTGCAATTTTGGAGGCTGCTGGAAGAGTACTAATGGGTTTATAATTGCTTATTATTATTTAAGTGTAATTACTGCAGTACAGTATACACACACAAACACACATACTGTATATATATATATATATATATATACAGAGCTGGGTAGATTACTTACAAATTGTAATCCGTTACTGATTCCAAATTACAGATTACATTGTAGTTAGTAATGTAATCCATTGCATTACACATTTTAGGTAACATAATCAGACTACTTTTAGATTACTTTTGATCTCTTTTATCACATTGATTTAAATAGGATAATCCTGTAACCATATTGACATAAAAATACAAAGAGTAAGAAAATATATTCCATTTGTTGTTATCCACAATATGAATTGCATTAAACAATATTACATGTTTGTGAAGGAACTGCAGGGGGTTTATGAGTTTAATGAAACGCTAATAATTAATTAAATCCAAAAAATGTCAAATTAAAATCAATCATTTTAAAATCAATCAAAATAAAAACTTACTAAAAATAAATATTTTATTTGTTTACCTGCATGTCGTGACCGTAACGAATGTCAGAGAACTGTGAACATGCAAATGTGATACTTAACTATTAAAATATTTATTTTTAAATCTCAGGGGTACTTCAAGTAAATATATTAAGTGAAAGAGGATCAGATGACCAAAAAAAAAAAAAAGTTTATGAATTTGTGCATTTTAAAGTGTTTGAAAAACAAAAGCCTTCCAAAGACAGAAATACATGGTTAAACAAGCTACAGAGTGATAATTCAAATAAAAATGAATGTCTTCATCAATAGCTGATTCAATGTTGAAACACTTTTTAAGCCTGAAATGATTTTTGTCAATCCAGTTGTCAAATGACTGGTCTTTGTGTGAATGTCCATAAAACTGGAAGCCTTTCTGAATGTATATAAGCAGTAGGTTATTTTAGCAAGGAAAATTTAAAAGATGAAAATGTGGAATTTGGGAGATATCAATAAATTATGAATAATGTATTGCTATTATGTAAATAACATGTAATCATGTAATCCATAAAAAAGTAACTAGTCTGATTAGAGTACTTTAAAATGTAATGTAATCTAATTACAAGTACTTAACTTCGTAATCCATATCCAGATTTAAAAATTTAACATTTCTAATCATAATTGATGAAGTATAAGGAAAATTGTAAACAACACAGCAAGCATTCAAGTATTCTTTATTGAGAACGTTTGGGTAGATAGATATTGCATGTATCATGAAAAGAAACAGTGCTGGACGGATACGTGTGTCGCCTCCAAGCAGTACATGACATGGAGTACATAGTCAGCTCTCCGCTCGAACAGTTCCTTGGCAACGCTGGAGAGCAGGAGTGAGTGATAGCCTACTTAAAGGGCAGAGCTGTGACTCCTGGCGAAGCCGACCGCATTCATCAGCATCTTGGAGTGAGCGGCTGCACCAGATTTAATGGCACATGCTGAGGTATGGTTTTATTTATGCTCTGTCAATTATCATTCTACAAATGGGTGTTTTAGTGCCATAGATCCACTTTATATCCTATTAAATCAGCAGTTGAAAGTTACTAATTTTGTTCGTTTGTTTTGAAGTGTTTTGAAGTGTTCTCTTCCTGAGGAGGTAGCTATAGATTGTGTATCTGTTGGTCATCTGTTGGTATCAGAGGTCATCATGGGGTCGAGTTCTTCATCTTATGCCCCTAAAACTATTTATATGGATGTGGATGGAAAGGTGCAAAGGGTGAGTCTCAAGATTTCAAATATAAAAGCTGTATGTTTACGATTCCATCAAAATGAGATGCATTTTAATTGTAAAAGTGCAATTGCTAATATATGATTAGATATGTCAGGGTTTTATCCAAACATTCAATGAACCTAAACAAGTATTTGGGGGCACACATAAAAATGTTTGAATGTCATGGACTGATGGGGTTAGTAAGTAAATGATGCTAGAGCTTCTCTGAACTAACTTCAGCTTTTTGGAATCATTTCTACAGTAATTTTTAATAGACTGTGGTGGCAATAGCTTCAAGCAATTTTCTAAAAGTTCACACAGGTGTCAGAGTAACCACAGGAGTAGTTCATCACATTATCTATGAATATGGTTTACCAAAGTTCGACAAACAGAATTGTCGCTGCACCATTTGTCTATTTTTATTGTTCTATCCTTCAAAAATTATGAAACTTTTTTGTGAAATTTCTGAATGAAAGTATGCTTGTCCTGGCTTTCATTAAGATAAATGCCATTGCTTGACATTTTTGTATCTAATACTTTAAGGCTAACATCTCCAAATACTTTTTAGAGCAACCACAGACAATCTCCGCTGAAAAACAGACTGTAAGATGTGTTTTCTGTTTGTAAACTTTAACGGTTTTGTGGTCGGTGAGATTTGTAATGTTTTTGAACATCAGAAGAATCGTATGCTCACCACAGCTGCATTTAATTGATACAATAAAAATATCATGAAATGTTATTATTTATTATTAGCTCAAGATAAAAATTTCAAAAGAACAGCATTTATTTGAAATAGAAATATTTTGTCTTTTAAATGTCTTTACTGTCAATTTGATCAATTTAATCCATCATTGATGAATTCTTATTTTATTAATTAGTATTGTATTGTATTAGTATTGTAATTAGTATAATATTAATTTATTTTCTTTAAAATAATTTGACCAGTAGTGTAACTACTTGTATAATAGGGACAACATTTTATTAATATTAATATTATTCTACTTAAAGGCTATAGTCATTTAATGTATTTTAAGACAGGCACCCTTTTTAGGATAACTACTTGTGTTAAAAAATATTGAGGGTCATTGTAGGTGACAGGTGCCTTTGACACGAACAAGCACCTGTGACACCTGCCAAGGGCAAATCCAGCCCTGCTCACTAGAGCCACAGTGTCATGATGGCATATTAATAATAATAATAATAATGCTCTTTGATTTTTCTTCATAGATATTTCTACTTCATCTCATTAAGAAAATTACTCACTTAGTTGTCATGTACTATGATCTCTCATGTTTTAGGTGATTTTCAGTCGACACTGTAGCCCATGTGATATTAAGGAACTTCTTTGCTCATCATCCAACATTGCCAGGTCAGTATCTTCTCATATATGAAGGGTTTAATGCAGATTATCATCTCAAAAGTGCATGTCTCAAATATGTTGTTCTCATGTTTCTCCAGAAACACGGCTATACTTCTGATTGACTCAGAAGGAGAAATGATATCTATTGACCCCACCATGCCTGCAAATACACCAAAGTAAGAACTCAACATAGTAATAATAATATAATTTGCTGTTGTTGTTATTATAATTATTATATCATTGTAATTTCATGAATAATTCAGAAGCATTCATTGTTTTACTTTCTTTCTTTCTTTGTTTCAAGCAACTTATATAAGGTTATGCCTCATTCAACAAACCAAGGGGGAGGTATGGAAAAAAAATGTACTCATTAAATTGTACATAATTAGCCAAAGGCCATGCCGATTACATGTGTTAGGTAAAACTAGAAATTAATGCAACTGACAGTAACATACCCTATAAACAACTTTTTATTCCCTCAAAAGAGAAGGAAGACATGTTCCAGAACGTCCTATCACAAGTGGCAGAGCAGTTCAGCAGGTGAGCCGTATGTCATATTCTGTCCAAATGAGTCTGCATTTGTTTTAAAGTAAATGTTATGATTCAGATCAGCATGTGCATGGTAATGAATGTAATATTTGTTTCAGGGCTTTCAGGACCAATGAGCTGAAGACTGAAGTGACCAACAGACTAGCCATGCTGGAGAAGAGAGTGGAGCGTGAGTGATTCTCTGAGGGCTAATGCATGTCACAACTCACACCTGAT